AAACCGTCCTCTTGCCTCAGCCTCCTGAGTGCTGGGATTGTAGGCGAGAATGTGCCACCACACCCAGCTAAGATTTACTTCTCTTTATTGGAAGTACATTGGCTATTCAGATTTATTCACTTTGTAATTACAGAAGGTGCAATGTGTGGTGTGGGAGTGGGCTTCTGTAGGTTATGTGACTAAAATCGGTGCCCGAGTGTCAGTGCTTGGCATGCAGTTCAGGGATGCAAGGCTGACCAAAGCTCCATTACATTCTGGCCTTCTTGCAGGTTGCTCTTCAGGACCTGCAGACAAACTCCAAGATTGCAGCTCTGCTGCCTTACTTCGTGTACGTGGTCAGTGGGGTAAGTGCACACCTGGGGAGAGAGGTGGCCTGGCAGCTGGAGGGCCCCTCGCACCCTCTCAGCCTGCCTTCTGCCCACAGGTGAAGTCTGTGAGCCATGACCTGGAGCAGTTGCACCGGCTGCTGCAGGTCGCCCGGAGCCTGGTTCGAAACCCACACCTCTGCCTGGGGCCTTATGTCCGCTCCTTAGTTGGCAGTGTCCTCTACTGTGTCCTGGAGCCCCTGGCTGCCTCCATCAACCCCCTCAATGACCACTGGACCCTGCGGGACGGGGCCGCTCTCCTTCTGAGCCATATTTTCTGGTAGCGCTGGGCCTGGGCTGCTGTGGCCAGGGCGTCACGTGGGGGATTTGCTGTTACGCATTGAGAGGATGGGTGCCTGCTCTGGGGCCTTAGCTGGGTCCCCAAGGCATAGGGTTCCAGGCCATCATCCCAGCCTTGTCATTCGCTGCATGCTGCATGGTGTGTCCTGGTACTGTATTGGATTGGAGCAGCACCATCCCCTCCTTCCTTACCCTGGCTGCATGTGGATCCCACAGGACTCACGGGGACCTTGTTAGTGGTCTCTACCAGCAGATCCTGCTGTCCCTGCAGAAGGTGCTGGCAGACCCTGTGCGACCTCTTTGCTCTCACTATGGCGCTGTGGTTGGGCTGCATGCTCTTGGCTGGAAGGTGAGGAGCCTGGCCTTTCCTGCTAAGGGAAGCAGGGCATGGTGGTGCACAACTGTGATCCTAGCACTCAGGAGGCTGAGGCAGGAGGGTCATTGGAGTTTGAGGCCAGCCACCAGAGCAGTCACATGCTAAGACCCTGTCTCAACAAAATGAACCAATGCTAACGTATGTTTACCATCAGGGTCTCATTACACAGATCAGACGTGTAGTGACCCTCCTGTTTTTCAGCTTCCCAAGCGCTAGGCTCACAGGCGTGTGCCACCATGCCCAGCTCAGTTGCCATCTCAGTGTGCCCTGGGGGCAGGGCTGGCACGCTATGCTGGGGATGGAACCCCTGGCCCTGGGTCTGCCTGAGCAGATGCTTTAGTTCCCTGAGCTGTCTGGCCAGCCCAACCCAGAATCTTCTGCTGCCCAGCACAGCGCTCTTGCTGTGAGCCAGGCTTAGTAGTGACAGTGTGCCCTAGGAAGTCTCAGGGTTTTCAGGCCTTCGTCGTTCTTGAATTTTTCCTAATAATTTTTGAAGACCCTGCAATTTCTTGGAAATGGCAGATATCCTCTACAGTTGATTTTTGGCGGGAGGTGTGCTCATAGCCAGTCCAAGAGCGTTGAATTCAAGTCTCCCTGCTGCTCATTGGCTGCTGCCCGTAACCCATCTGGCAGTTGCACTGGCAGCCTGAAGCAGGACAGGTGCTTTGTACCGCTGGCATTTGTTCTTTGTAATGCCTTGAGATCCATAAAAATGCCTGAGCCCTTCAAGGACTTTATTCATATGGTGTTTTATTAAGTTACATAGATGTGGGAGATAGCATATTCAGGGCTTGAACTGTAAAAAGCATTTATATGAGCCTTTTCCTGACTGTATCTAAAATTCAGTCTTAAAACTTGAGGGTGGGGGCCGGGGAGATGGCTCAGTAGAATAAGCACTTCCCTGGCAAGCGCAAGGGCCTGCGTTCAATCCCCGGTTCTGCCAAAAAAGCCCCAAAAAACTTAAGGGTACTGTAGGAATGGAATCTGAATTTTGGGATCCAATATGTACCTTGACTTTGGGTATGTGGATGCTTTATCCCTTCAGAAGTCCTGCATGGTAGACACAGTGCCCTATTTCATAAACCCTTAGGCAGTCCACACTGTCACATCAGGAAACCCCAGGTCCTGTGTTATAAAGCCATTAGATTTTTGCCAAATTGGGGCTGGGGAGATGGCTCAGTGGAATAAATGCTTCCCTGGCAAGTGCAAGGGCCTGAGTTCAATCTCCTGTTCTGCTGAAAAAAAAAAAAAAAAGATTTTTGCCAAATAGCCTTTTCATACCTGTAGGTATAACTAACAATTACATATGTGCTTTGTGTTAACATGCAGGTATGCTGATTGGGCTTTCCACTGGACCACACTTGCATAACTATAATAGTTCTCTTTGTTGCTGCTGAGATTTGTATTGGAAATTTTTTGGACTTTTTTTTTTTTTTTAGCGGAACCAGGGATTGAACTCAGGCCCTTGCGCTTGCCAGGGAAGCGCTTATTCTACTGAGCCATCTCCCCGGCCCTTTTTTTTTTTTTTTTGACTCTTTAACTAATTTTTATGTAGTTGGTGGTTACAGGGTCTCACTTCGTAGCTCAGACTCCCAGCACTGGGATTGCAGACATAGGTCCCTACACCTGGGGGCAGGGACTGAGCTGTGGTCCCTGCGCTTACGTAAGCAGGCACTGTAGTCTGCTGAGCTCTCACTGGCCCTTTAACTAGTTATGAAAAGTGATCAAGCTCAATTCTTTAGGACCTTTCATCCCCCTGAGAACCGACTGTAGTTTGTGGTGCTGGAAGCCACGCTCAGGGCTTCATGGCTACTGGGTAAGTGCTGGACCAATAAGGCACCCCTCTACCCTCTTTTATTAATGTACTCCTGGATTCTTGCTTCCCTTTGATGCTGCTATAACTTCATGGTCTTGGTTGTTGATAAAAGAAATGCAGTTGATTTTCTTGTTCCAGCCACATTTCTACACATTGTAAACTCATTTGGGGTTTTACTTTTGGAATTTTATTACATATGTTATATATTTTAATGTATATTTTAGTGTGTATGTGTGAAATCTAACTCAGAAGGCCGGCCAGATAGCTCAGCGGACTAAAGTGCCTGTTTAGGCAGAGCACAGCTGCTGGGGTTTGATCTTGTGCCAGCCCACCCCTGGGCACGCTGAGAGGGCGATTGAGACCGGCACGGTGCTTGGGAGGCTGAAAACAGGAGAATCGCTGCGAGTCCGGTGTATGTCGGGAGACCCTGAACACATAAAAAGAAAAACAAAGCAAACTCTGGACCTTGTGCTTGCCAGGCAGGCACTGTGCCGCTGAGCTCTATTCCTAGCCCCTCATTCGGGGTTTTAAAGAAAAACATAGCAGATACGAGACAGCCATAACAATTGCAATGCTTTATATTTTATTGCTAAGATCACCCGCCTCGATCAGTCTCTCGCTCTGTATTCTGCTGGCCTCAAACGCAGTGATCCTACTGCCTCCGTCTCGTGCTGGCCTTACAGGTGTGCGCGTCCACGCCTGGCTTCCAGTTCTCAGTGTCAGCGCCAGGGACGCAGCGCGTGGAGGGCAGCAGGCGGCGCGCAGGCTCACTGCCCGCCCTCCCTCCCTCCCTCCCTCGCAGGCCGTGGAGCGGGTCCTGTACCCGCACCTGCCCACCTACTGGACCAACCTGCAGGCCGTGCTGGACGACTACTCGGTGTCCAACGCGCAGGTCAAGGCAGACGGGCACAAGGTGTACGGCGCCATCCTGGTGAGTGGTCCCTCCGTCGGCTCGGCCGCCCCTCGCGCGCGCCCCCACCGAGGTTTCTTTTTTTTTAATGTACTTTAATTTAATTAATTAATTAATGTGTGTGTGTGTGTGTGTGTGTGTGTGTGTGTGGCCCAGCTCAGCCCACCAGGGGGCGCAGCTGGCTGGCATGTGGTCCTGGGGATTGAACCACGGTCCCTGTGCTTTGCCAAGCTTGTTCTCAGTAGGTGCTTTAGACCACTGAGCCATCTCTCCAGCCCTCCCACCCAGGTTTCGCTCTCGCCCGCCCGCCCGCCCGCCCGCAGGTCGCCGTGGAGCGTCTGCTGAAGATGAAAGCGCGGGGAGGAGGCCGGCACCACGAGGACCCGCCCTGGGGCGGCCTGCTGCTGCCCGAGCCTCCCGCCGAGCCCGGCTTCGCGCCTGCGCCGCCGCCGCCGCCGCCCGCGGGGCCAGCCACACTGGCGGGCATCTACCGCGAGCTCTACGCCTTCTTCGGCGACAGCCTGGCCACGCGCTTCGGCACCGGCCAGCCCGCCCCCGCCCCGCCCCGCCCGCCGGGAGACAAGAAGGAGCCCGCGGCCGCCGCAGACTCCGTGCGCAAGATGCCGCAGCTCACGGCCAGCGCCATGCTGAGCCCGCCGGGCGACGAGAGTCCGCGGAGCGGGCCCGCAGC